TTTTTATATGTAGAAAAGTAAATAATATTAATGACAATGACGATGACTAGTAATATTGTATATTTAACATAGCTGTCAATTCTCCATATAAACGTTAGATATCATTTTTATATGATATAAACGTATCCAAACATTATGACTTATCTTATCGGTGCTTAATGATAAATTAAATATGTAATATATTTTACAAAAAAATTTTTTTAAATATCATGTTTTAATAGATTATTAGATTATCTGTCTAGAACTCACTAAGCGCATATTTTGAGTGAAAAGTTGTTTAGTAAAAATACTCAAAATATAATAATCTCATTTCAAGCTTGTCAAGTGAATACTCAACTTTAAACCAAAATAAGCTTTTTAAAATTTTGTTTTTTTTAAGTCAATTAAGAAACAAAAGACTCTGTTTTCTTTCAAAAAGAAACTTAATTAGATCGGTTTTGGAATAGTAATGAAAATATATAGCTTATTTTTGTTTAAACATATAGCTTATTTTAATCATTTAAAATGCCATTGTGAATCTATTTAAATTTTATTGTCATTTATAAAACTTCTCACATTTCTTGACTAACCTGCAAATCATTTAGTGCTTCTTAGTAAAAAAATTAATGCTCTTGCTTAATAAGAAAAAGTCGTATTTAGATAATGATAATGGTAGAAACACTATCATTATCGACATTACAATCGAGTGGTCTGACGTACGTCATCCTTACAGTATCGCTGTCGGTTATTTTAATTGCAGTAAACAAGTAATTTTTAAACAGGCTCCTCTACACTCAAGAGAAGGTAGTAAATGAACGACCCACTGTATTCTACCGATCTTTATTTTTTGTCAACTTTTTGCGTTTCAAGACAGATTGTGAACAGTTGATGGCTTTATCGTTTCCAGACCCGCTTATTTAAAACCGTTTTCATATTTACAACTTTTTGTTATATGACATCATATTTCACTTCATCATATATACACTATTCCAAAAATTTGTTTTTATATGGAAATAATAGATGATAATACTCACTTCATTAGAGTTCAATTCTATAGGTGACTGACGATCTAAATTGCAGTCCGGGTATTCATCATACCATTTTGCTTGTTGTTCATGACTGAATCCTTCAGCTATTTTTTCAAAACAATCAAATCAAATGTTTGAGAAAATAAATATGTTAATATATATATATTTTTTGAAATAAATTACCATAGAGAATTAATAATAACAAACATATTGTTGAAGATTTGTATAATTTATTCATAATTTTTTTCTTTCAGAAGTAAAACAATCTTCACTGTGCAAATGACAAATCACAAATAATGAAATTATGGCTACTCTGCGTTGATTTTTAAATATCTTTAATGCCCGAAGTTTTTGATAAAATTTTCACTTGAAGTTTTACTGCTTAAACAATAAAAAAATAATTGATAAAACTGCTCACAAGTTAAAAAAGTGTTCAACATTTTAAAAATCAATAAAATTTTTATATATTTTAAATGACAAAAACCGTTTTTAAATGATAATAAGTTTTAGTTCCACAATATAGATCAGTAGAAAATAATATTTTTTACTACCCTGCAGTGAATTTGCCGCTGTAACTTTATCTAAATATTATTGTCCTTTATATAATATAACTTTAATTAATTATTATATATCTGTTGGTGCATATGTATTATGATAAAATTTTTTATAGTTACGTGCCGCTTTCTAACATAATATATATTAATTTAAAAAAAACTATTTATATCTAAAAATTAAAAACCTTTCGGGAAACTTCTTTGTTTAGAGATGTTCTATAACATAATCCAACCCATGTTGTTGCTCGTATGCATTTAACGTTATATCATCGTTACCATATATTAATGAGTCCAGATATATAGACACTAAAATACACTGAAAATCACTGATCTCCGCGATATGATCACTACAAAAGTCCACTACTTTCGTGAAAAGATCATTCAAAAGTTCACTACCTTCGTGAAAAAAACGCTAACAAAAACATTAAAAATTATTTATAAGATGTTGGAAACAGTACACTATAATTTTAGAGTTTGTAAAAATTGTTGATATGTTTAGAACTTTATTTAGTGTAGTGTTAATGTAGATTTTTTTAACAAAAATACGCAACATTATACTATGTTTGGTACTTTGTTGTTTATTTTCGTTCACTGCTTTGTACACTTTGTGAAAGTCACTTGAAACCTTTATATTAGAGTACAGAGTATTATAAGTGTATTGATGCTACACCTATTTTACGCCCAGGTGTGACTATGTACTTACTTACACTGCATAAAAATATTACATATGCTTAGTCGCATGAGTGGCAAGTAATACTATTAAAACCGGTCATTATTAAGAAAGTAATCACATTAAAGCTTAAATTGACTCTCATTTTCCTAAGCTAACTTTTTTTAAATATATTTTGGCGATCATGCCAGGATCCGTGGAAACAGAAGCAATCAAGTAGTAAGCTTGAAGCACACAACTAAGTAGATTGGTACTACATTTTATTCAATTTAAAAGTTTTAAAGTAGCTTAGCAATGTAACTGCTAATATCCTGACTGTTTGTGAACTTCTGATGTGGGACTTATTTAATTTAAACAAATGAATAATGTCTCATTAGGTGGATTTAATATTCTTACTATCGAAAAGACTTCAGTCGGAGTTTATGTGTACAGTTCATCCTTAACAGTTTTGTTCTTCCAAAAATATTAGTGAGATATAGTATTAAAAAACGACTTTTAAAGCAGTAGCTTAAAGTTTTCTATATAAAGTTTTCTACACTAATAAACATATTGTTCATTGCCTCAGCAAACCAAACTAAGCATTGCAGATACCTGTTCGTTATAGACAGTACAACCAATACACAAAAACGATTTAACTCGATAAACATGATATACAAATATGGAATTCTAAAGTCTTCGTTGGTTTTCAGTCTTTGTAGCTAGTGCTATAATATCGATTAATAAAACTTGAAACAATTTTACACAATAGAATTTTTGCTACTTTTTGTAATTTTTATTGTTTTCAATATGTATTGGTTCAAATATATATAGATTAATATATAATATAAAGGTTCATATACACAAACTTTATATATATTCATATATATATGTTACCTAAAACGTGGGTTAATATATACTAATATATAGTACCATAAAGGTTCTTACTTTTAAGTGTATCGCAACCCATTTTTCTTTTCCATTATTGGAACTTCGACTATGCTTAGACTTGACAGATGTTATATTTCAGTGGTTTTAGGGAGTATGTCTTCATTTTCAAAATCAAACATATTTAATTAGCAATTCTTCAACCTAATCTATATTCTATAGAAATATCTTTTAAGTTGTTAAATAACATCTTTTAGTATTTAAATTGTTATAAGCGAAAGCTGAAAATTGAGGTTAAAAATTTGAATACCAATAGGCAATATTTTTTATTATCTCATAATCGAGTATAAATATTTGCAAAATTTCTATCAGTATTCACACCCCAGTTTAAATATCATGAACTGATTTGTTTAAAATTTTATCAATTTATTTTATGAATGACCGAATGACTGTTCTTTTTTGACTAAATATCATTCAATAAAAATATTGGTTGAAAAACCCGAAAATGTATTTATGACCATCATTGCAATTAAGAACTGGTTAAATCTAAATCAAAGTATTTAAGGTAATTACGATAGTTAATAAAATTTTATTTTACCTTTATTTATTATATCAAAAGTGCAAAATGCTAAAAGCGCGACAATTATTATTTTATATTCTATTAAGTAAATAATAAATTTTCTGAAATGCATTTTCAACTAAAAACTAGTTGTGTCTACGTCGAAGCAGTTATATAGCAAAGTTAAATATTGAAATTATGAGAGATAATAAAATTTTATTTGGATTATAAAATATTATATCAAAATTTTGCATAAGTAATTACATGGGTGTGAAGTAAACTTATTTAATTTTTTTATTCAGTCTAAATATAATTATATTTGTTGAATTGTAAAACAGCTTTATATGTACGTCACACTGAGCACAAAAATACAAATATGAACTAAATAAATTTCTTACATATTTATTCTTATTCTATGTAATATATATTGACCTAAAAATTAACTTTAACTTTAACTGGGCATATCTCTAACGTCATGCAAATTACTACTGAGTTCTTTGCGTACTGAATTTTGTTAATAAAAGACGAGAAGACTCAACGATATGAAGGTATATGTATGCAATCTGGCCACGTTCCGATAAAAGGAAAAATCGTGGCCAGAATCGTGACCCAAAATTCTCAATGAGATACCCCATAGAGATGTCGGTCTTTTGGTAGGTTTATTTACGGATCACTGTAAATTAAGTAACCTTGCTAGAAGATTAAGTCTCCCTTTCAATCAAATCTGTCGCAGCTGTGGGTAAAACGATGAGATTGCCTCTCATCTACTACGTTTTTGCCCAGCTAATGCACGGCGGCGACTTAATAGTCTAGGAGCCTCCTTTCTTGAGGACCTTAACCAATTACAGTACCTGACACTAGTTAGCATTTTATGTTTCGCCAAAGGTTCTAGGTGGTTTTAAACCATGAATTTTTCCTATATATACGGTAACATAATAGGCCAATAGGCTTAAGTGGATAAACTAGGGATCGCCGGTATAACCCAACCTAACCTAATTTACTTTAAATACTATGCAAAAACACATAGATGAACTAATATATTTTTTTAACAATACAACTTAAAATTTTACATACTTAAATGAAATTTAATCACGTAGGTATTAAAAATAAATTTTTCTATATTTTTTTTTTCCTGCTTAGTTGCATTAAAAAAAAAATATAGATGTGTAGTAATGAAAGTCTGTGTAAATAATAATTGAAATGATCACTTTTCGAAATTGTTCTGATTGAACTAAGCTTTAACCTCAAATTTTCTTCAAATATTAATAAGTAAAACCACAAAATATTTCTTTACCAATTATGATTTTATTAAGAATTTTGAATAATTTATTAATTATTCTTATTTATTTAATTATCATCACTTTTCTAAAATGTGTTCGTTATTTTTAACACAATTTTTATTGACTTGTTACTCTCACTTGACCCACATTTCAATGCATGTCCATGTCTTTGTTTTATTTCGGCTCAGTTATCTCATTAGTTTTTCTTTTAAAGCTGATGATTCATCGTTCCATTAATAATTGTTTTATAAATCCACACACCATATATAATTATTTCGTACACATATTTTTAAACAATTATATCAGTTATATCTATACAACATATTTAGGTTACTGAATTAAGATTATCTGCATTGAACTGACTCCTATGAAATGGTATATCAGCAGGTTGTACAGAAGAAGGAAAAACCTCATCCTTACCCATTAACCTGTTATATTTATTTACTAATTCCTTAAATCTTCTCTTAGCCTCAATTTGTTTACGCTGTGAACATTTCAAGCGATAAAACTCTTCACGTGCAAGTTCGTCGAGTTCTTGATTGATATAGGCAACTGTATTAATAAGTTTTGGAATCATTACATATTCTAAACCATTGACACGCATATTATTTTGACGAACATGATCGGTTAATACTTTAACTGAGATTTGAAGTGATGCCATACGGACGAGCACTTTGAGTGCTTCTTGAAATTTATTCCGAATCTTTCCTACTTGTTCTCCGCCTCGTGAAAGACCAGTTAACGGATTATTTGTTGCATTCCACATAATTAAATTAAATGAAGGTAATTTCATTCCTAAAACTTTACCTTGAATTATGCGTAGAAAACAATCTGCACGCTCTGAAGTATTAATTTCAGCAGGTTTAAAATCAGTCGAAAGAAAATTTCCTTTTGCTAATGCAAATATTGCATCTCTCATAACAATTGGTATTTGATCTGCCGTTTCCTGCTGCAATCTCTGATATTCTTTCAGTTTCATTTCCATTGCATCACGTTTTCGCTTTAATAAACCAAGACCTCTCACTGCAGAAGCATGACGTAGCTTCATAAACACTAAATTTGCACGTGAGGGAAACAATGGAAATTTATCTTTACTCATTTTGCAGAACTAAAGTATAGTACAACAAGATCTTAAAACTGAAGGAAAAATGTTGCCAAATTATGAGGTCTTAGAATTGTAACAGTCTTGCCTTTATAAAACTTAAATTTTGATATGGATTTTAAGAACCAAAAAAAAATATATAGTCAAAAATCAAAATATTGTAGTATATCTTTGAGTCTTGACTGACACAATTGCGCATAGCTACTAGATAAAAAAAAATAGTTTAATTATTAGTTTTAAAATCAAATTAATTATTTTTAAATAATATAATTTATATCTGGGGGTTATTTTTGACAAACGGTTCAATTGGCTTAAACATTTGAAATACAAACGGAATAGCTGCTCTAAGATTCTACATTTATTAAAGCCGTTATTTAATAATTATCATTTCAACTTTAAAAACAGAAAGTTACTTTATAAGCAAGTAATTAGACCAGCACTACTGTACGGATGTGTTACATATAGCAAAGCTTCAAATGCTACGTTAAAGCAATTACAGATAGCTCAAAACCTGGCTTTAAGAAGACTGTTTAAGATTCCATGGTATATTAGATCAACAGACATACATAGAGATCTTAGGATTGACTTAGTGAAAAAATATATCAGAGACAGAGCTCACTAAAGTTGATACGCTACTTAACCCCGCCCTAACAATACTCAAGTCCACTTCTGGATTCTCAGGAAGATATGCTGATTTAAGGTCCGTCATCAACTAAAAGACAAATAAATGATATGATTTCTTAGCCTAGTTAAAGCCTAGTGTGGGGTAGTGATAAGCCCCCCAGTCATTATAAAGTAAAAGTGCGCAATAGCACTAACTCAAGAACAAGAAAAAGAAAGAAAAAAAAATTTATATTATTTGAGAGTAAAGTTGGCATAATATTAGTTGATCTCATAAATCGTTGAATACTGCAAATAGCTTACTTGTTATTTTCATTACTATAACCTATTTATTATTTAATGTGTTCATAAAAAAAAAATACTACAAAATTTGCTAATGCATATTAACGCATAATTTAATTATTAAAACTGTTTGTTATTAAAACTGTTTGCTTGCTTAAAATGATTTTAAAAGTTTTTTCCACTTACCTAAGAGCATTATCTGCAAGTACCATATTTCTGTGTAGATACTTTTCTAACATCATTTTGTTGACATAAATTAAGTTTATGTATCTTCTAAACAATGAACGAAAGTTCATAAATCCTTGTTATGAAGCTGAGCTCACATTTGTCAAGCTATGAACAATCGTATACCTATGAATATTTTGCATGTACCATACATGAAAATTACTTGGAGTTGGAAAGATTAATGTACAAACACGTTTATTACTTGTATATATTTTCTGAAAATTATATTGAATTTAATTACTGATTTTCGGTTAAAAATAAATTAACTATATTTGCGTTTAATTTTTAATATAAGAACTCGATATTATATCTTTAAAGGAATTGTGATCAAAGGGTTGACATATTCATGTCGTATAGTCGGGTACTCTTACTGACGAAACCTGGTTATTACGTCTTCCGTATATGAAATTTGGGATGGGAAGAAAGTGATGGTAAGAGAGATGTAAACGAAAATAGCCACTCATTATTTTAAGTTTTAGAACTTATTACAGTAAGCTACCGTATAACTTCATTTTTGTTATCATAAAACTATAATAATTTTGCAGTATATTTTTAACTTAAATATAACTAAAACTGACGTAATAAAATTAAATGAGATAGTGTAAAAATTACATAAAATTAAAGCGGTTATCCTTTCTATAAAAGTCGCGTTTGTATGTAGTCAACAAAATCAAGTCCAAGTCCAACAAAGTTTTCAGAATTTTACGTAATTGACACTTTTAACAAAATCCAACTCGATCCAAAAGATGGCCATATAATCAACAATTCCATAGGATATTCTCTCCTTTTTATATATGTTGCATATAAAAATATTTTTACTAAAACATATAAAAACAAAAACAACAACACACAAATGCGGACACAAAACAATGGTGCAAGAGTGCAACGTTTTATTACTGCAACACACGAAACAGAACCGTTTATCAGGACGACAAGGATATAAAATGCAAGTGATAGTTGGGTAAGTTTTTTTTTTCGGTTTCGTATTTGCAACTATTTTGTTTTGGTACTGACACGTGACACAAAAAGCAGGAAACAGAGTAACAAAGGATACTGTATTTCCGCTGGCGTCACGCCATTTTACACGCCATTGTATCTTTTATACATTTGTTTTTGTATTTTTACAGTAAGTGTGTGTGTATGTATGTAATCTAGTGTCAATGAATGTTGAGCTGTGATGAGATGTCACTGATGTGGGCAGATAAATGGATTTTGTTTTAATTTTTTAAACATCATTTGACCGAATTTTGATTATATATTTAAATAACAGTGAGTTCAGTTGTTTTAAATAAATTATTCATATAAAGCCAATTGTTTTAGGGTCGGTAATTGTAATTGCTGTTAATATGTTCTATGGAATATAAGGAATAGAAAATAGAGTGCTGTGCTAGTAAAATGTAGAGTACTTGAAAATTTGCTCCAAATATTAAATTCTGTTTAAAAGTCACATACGTTTTAATAATTGGGAAAAAGAATTTTGTATGTTAGGTAAACTTAAATTATAGTTTATAAATATAACCTAAAAACTTCAAAGTTATACTAAACAGCAGGCTGTGTTTTAGAATATAAAATAAATATTTTAAGTTTCCAGTTTTCTATATAGGATTTGAGGACCCATACAAAATTTCTCAAAACTTGCATATCTTTAATCAATGTAACATATAAATACCTATATACTCGATAGCAGTAAAATCTAATAGCTATGAAATAAAAGCAATGTATAGACTACCACACTATAGCATTTTACAAGCGATGATACAAGCATTTGATAAAGTAACAGCCGTATTACTGACTGAATGAAAATGAACTTCAAGATCTCTTAGCCAAACACTGTTTATTTTAACATTTATTCTAGTAACATATGGAATAATAGAATTTTTGACACTTTACTATAGTGAAGTAAAAATAAATATCATATTGAACAGCAAAAAAGAAAAGACAAGTCCCAAAAACTATCATACCAAACATTATAGTAAAAATTCATATCAAATAAAAATAAATAAATTTTTTTTTCTTACGGTGACTATTATATTTAATGGAAACTTCGAAAAACTTCTTTTTATTAATATATTCTTCATAACAGTTGATAGATTTTTCTATTAAGATATGTACTATTAAGAGTATGAAAGTGATTTTTCAAACTTTTTATAAGTCAGAAGAAGGCAAATATAAAAAAAGATTAACATGTATGTATAACTCAGTATTACGACACAATATTTGCTAAGAAAAAAAAGGAGATGTCTGGCCGCAGATCGAAAATCACAAAAGCATGGCCTAAAATGTCATGAAATGAATTAAAAAAAACCTCTTCGAAGTAAATGAGTTAGCTTACTGAACAAAGAAGTTATCTCAAATTTTATATTTAAATATATTTAATAACAGTTTCTATATTCAACAAACAACGACCAGAAAAATTGGAAATAATAGTATTTAGAACTATCAAAAAAGCATAGTATGATATGGTTAATTATGTTTAAGTACTTTTTATATTGTTTTCTTTTTATCATAAAAACAAAACAAATATTTTGAACAAAAAGAATTTCCAAAGGAAAATAAAATTACATCAAGGACGATAAAAGTGCATCACGCAAACGTTTTTAATCATAAGATGAAAACTATTGAAACCAACAGCTGAATAAATAAAAATAATCACATAGAAAAATTGCAGTTGACATTAATATGTGTTACGTTCCGTATGTCTTGCCTGGTATCCTTTGTGCATTGAAGCTTTTGTGTCCTTATCAATTTTCAAAATTTGAAAATCTGTGCAAAGCCCAATGCACAAGACTTAAATAAGCACATAATGAAAGTAGTGCATTTAATGTTCACAAGAAAACAAAAAAATATACGTTTGCAATATTGAAACAAAAATAAAAAAAATATGTTTAGAAAATAGAAAAATAAACGACGATAGAAATTGGAACCAACAAAATGGGTTTATGCTTTGGGGACTGTGTTAATATTTCATATAGCACACAACAAACGCTTCAACTGAGAATGCAATCCATGTACATAGATCAATACTGACGTCGTTAGATTCTTTTCTAACCACAGACTGTTGTTGAGGAACGAAATTGCTGTGTTTGATTCTATTTCAGAAATGCTTTCAAGAGTCTGAAAACTTTTTTTTTATTGAATTCATTTTCTTTTAGCCAATATTTATTTTCAGTTTATTTTGTTATTGATTTAATTGACCAATTGTGCACAAATACCGTGTGTATTGGTCCTGTGAAAGCAGTGCATTAAAAATATTCGAAATCAATTGAATGCAGCTGATTAAATTATATTCTTTCTTTTGCTTCATTTTAGTCTTTTTTATTTCTTATTAAATATATAAATTACACAAGAAATATTTCTTAAGCTTGATTTGCAATTATTTGTTGAAGTTGAAGAGATCACAAAAAAATTATTTAAGTCAGCTAAATATTGTTGAGGAAATGACTCGCATGCAGTTATGTGCACTGAGAAAAATTATTTGTGAATAAAAGGGTCATTCCTCATAAGTACAATATATTTTTGTAGAATCCAAAAAAAAAGAATTACTACCGCCAATATTTTTTTTTTAATTCAATGAAACTAAGTTGTATAGTTGTTCTAAAATGATGAATAATTAAAATAAGAATTCACTTTATTACTTTTAGATTTTTATATTCTTTTTACTATTTCTTAACACTGAACAAAAAGAATTTTAAAAGTTAGAAGGGTTCGAATAGCAATGCAAAGACAACAACAAAAATTTTAGTTAATTGATTGAAGTTTGGCTGACCATATAACGCTGTTTTGAACTAATAAGGATTTTAAAATCGAAATTATTTAAAAAACAAAAGTGAAGCGTTTGTTTTATATTCTCTTTAAGTATTTGTGAAATATTATTGAAATTATTTTTAGTTGGCACGAGGACAGACGAGCAGTTAGGCTAAGTGAAAAAGACTATACAGAACATTTAGGTTGTAAAATGAGTTGAATATATTGAATGGAAGAGAAATTTTAGAAATATTT